TGCATACGTGTGTGTGTGTGTGTGTGTACGTGCATATGTGTGTTTATGTGTGTGTGTGTGTGTATAATGTGTAGTATGTTGTGTGTTTATAGTCAGTAGTTGCATATTTTGTATGCTTGTATGTCAGGATTGCCCTCAATACGACATGCTCATTGGCCTGTATGCAACATATCTGTGAAAAGAAGACAAAGACAGACACACACATACAGACACACACACGCACGCACACATATACATAAACACAAACAAGTATAATCTATATATATATATATATATATATATATATATATATATATATATATATAACAATAGATGGAGAGCCATGTCTGTGATTTCGTCTGATTGTTGGAATGAAATAAAAAAGAAGCAGTCGTATTGTATCGGGCTAGAGAGCCCGTGTTATTTCCAGTAAACAACAACAACAACAACAATAATAATAACAACAACACTAACAATAACAAATATAATAACAATGATAATAATAGTAACAATAATAATATTGTAATAATGATAATATTATAATAATGATAATAGTAATAATAATGTAATTAGTATACATCTATACAAACTGCATATAAACAAACACACCAACGAATAAACAACAAAAAAACAAAAAAAAACATACATACAAAAACAAACAAACAAACATACAAACAAACTAACAAACAAACACTGCGTACAGACAAATTTTTCAGAGACGAAGAACAATTGTGATGCAATCGTCAATAAATGAAACTGCAAAAAATGCATGATTGGAGCCGGCATAAAACCTTAACTATAATAATAGACAATTATATTTTTAATTAATAATAATAATAATAATAAATAAATAATAATAATTTTTAATAATGATAATAATAATAAACATAAAAATATTTTTAATTACAACAATGCGATGATGGGCTAATGATAAGAATGTATCATACAATTGATAGTAACGCTATTGCGAACTAGGATGAATAATGATTACGTCTGTTATAAGACGTTAATGATGACGACGATGTTGTTGTTGATGTTGCTGTTGTTGATGTTGCTGTTGTTGTTGTTGATGTTGTTGTTGTTGATGTTGCTGTTGTTGATGCTGCTGTTGTTGTTGTTGATGTTGCTGTTGTTGATGTTGCTGTTGTTGATGTTGCTGTGTTGTTGTTGATGTTGTTGTTAATATTGTTGATGATGTTGTTGTTGATGTTGTTGTTGATGTTGTTGATGTTGTCGTTGTTGTTGTTGTCGTTTTGACGATGGAGATGAATTACATAGAAAAAAATAAGCACTAACAAATACTGACAGCCAGACAGACAGACCGACCGATAAAAAGCAAACAACCACAAACACAGACGTGCAAACAGAATAAGAAAAAAGTAGACATTCAGACAGTTACCCAGACATAATCAGGAAAAAATGAACAAAAAAAAACCAGACAAACTACCAAGAATAAGACATACAGAATAAAATCCACACACATAAAATAGACACATATGCTGCCATAGACAAACGCAGACAGACAGACTGACAGACAGACCCCTAGACAGACGCAGACAAATGCAGACAGACGAATAAATAAAAAGAAATAGGCAAAATGAGAAAAGGAAGATTGTATGTCATCACTAAGCTTACGGTCCGTCTAGCAGTCGTCTAGTCTGTGTTCATATGATTCCATATGTCTCTTTGCATGTTTATTTTTTTATTTGTTTGTATGTTTGTCTGTTTGTTTGTCTGTATCTATGTATCTTTGTTTGCTTGTTCAAATACTTTATATTTGTACGTATGTATGCTAGTTGTGTTCTCGTTACTAACATAATTTTCATCGTTTGATGTGTGTGCGATACTATATCTGTTTCTCTGGCAAGTTGTTTTGTGTCCATTTGATGGTTTACTCTCTCTCTCTCTCTCTCTCTCTCTCTCTCTCTCTCTTTCTGTCTCTCTGTCTGTCTGCCTGTACCTCTCTATTTTTTTATACATACATTCATTTATCATCATACAATTTTTATACATTAACCTTGACGCCTGGAGAAATGAAACATAAATGTTGCATACACACCACAACGACGCGGATGCATACTTAGCGTGTCGCGACGTGTTTATATACACTCTTGCATAAATGTGTGTGCGTGCGTGTGTGTGCGTGCGTGTGTGCGCGTGTGTGCGTGCGTGTGTGTGAAAGAGAGAGAAGGATAGAAAGAGAGAGACAACAACAACAACGTGTCTTTCAGCATAACGCGAATAACAGATAGTTCAGTTGAGTGAGTGATTGACAAACTGACGCGGTGATGGTAGAATATGATAATGAGAATAAATGAATGAATGAAATAAACTGATGGTTGAAGTAAAAAAAGAATTAAACGATTAAGGAGAAATAGAGAAGAGAGAGAGAGAGAGAGAGAGAGAGAGATAAAGAAAAAGATAGGTCTGAGGGAGAAAGAGAAATAGATAGAGAGAGAGAGAGAGAAATTGAGAGAGAGAGAGAGAGAGAAAGAGAGAGAGAAAAAGAGATAAATAAAATACACAAATAACCAAACAATATACAATATGTAATGTCAGAAAAATAAAAATACAAACAAACAAAAGAGCAAAAGTTTAAAAATTAGAAGAAAAAATGAAAAACTCGATCAGGTCTGAAATATGTGACCTTTAGCAATTTTTCATTGAGAAATTTCACACCAGGTATACCCCATCGTAAATGAAGTGTGATTTTTTCGGCATAGAAATAATTTAGCATCTACACTCAAACACACACACACACACACGCATACACATACACACACAACCACACACATACACACACACCTATCTAATACACAGTTGCGTTTTTGGTTGTTGAGTTTTTGTTTGTTTGCTTGTTTTTTTGTTTATAACTGTGTGTGTTTTTGTTTGTTTGTTGGTTTTATATCAAGAATTCTTAAAGTATGTTTCTGTAGTTATAACTTTAATGGTGGCAAACGTTCTCGAACACACACACAAACAAACACCTATAAACACACAAATACAAACAAACATAGAAACACACACGCACATGCGGTTTGTATATTGTATATTAATACAAAGTTATTCTTTAATTAGCTATATTACATTAGGTAGAATGTTAATAATTCACTGTTCTCTTTTGATCAGTAGTCATCAAATGTTTGTTTGTTTGTAAATGTTTGGTTAAAACCTCTCTCTCTCTCTCTCTCTGTCTCTTTCTGTATCTCTCTGTCTGTCTGTCTCTCTCTCTCTCTCTGTCTCTCTTTTTCTCTTTCTTTCTCTCTCTCTCTCATCTTTAAAAACCTTTTTTCTTTTTGTTAAAATTAGTAGTTAGCATCACGATTCCACCACTTATGTTATTATTAATTTATTTTTGTTTTTACTTTGGTCTTGCATCGTTTGATACGATTTTAAAAAAAATTTTTCTCATTAATAAATCTATTGTTGCTGTTGTTATTATTATTACTTTCTTTATTTTTATTATTTTTGTTCCAAAAACCCAAATGTACTCTGAACAGTTCATGCTTCATTCGCCGAGGTTTGATCCTTTGATCTAGAACTCTTTTTTTCCGTCATACATACATTTGCATTTTCAATCGAGTCTCGTGTTTAAAAAAGATCAACAAATTTTACTTCGTTTTATTATTATTTTATTTCAATTTTCTTTAATTTTATTCGGATTTATTCACATTTGATTTGTAAATAAGACCGCTATTAAACAGATTTCATCAGTGCATTTTGACATGTTCATATGCACGAACGTTTAGTTGAAATGTAACATTTTATACCATCTCCTCTTTCTGAGCATCTTGGTGTAAACTGAGATAGGTTATGAAACAATTTTTCGTTTTAAGTAAGAGTTTTTGAAAAATTTGTTCTAAGGTTGATGTTTAAATTCTAAAATATAACGTTTGCTAGTAGGTTCAATTTTGGATTTCATGTTTCATGTCTGGCTCAGCAGAATGACAAATAAATCAAAGAATGATGAAAATGAACAGCTGAAATGAGAGAGTCGTTTAAAAAAGCACCTCTTATGAAGGCATTTAGTGGCAAGCTTCCTCGCCGAGTCAAGGCAGCCTTTCATGAAGGAGGAAATGTTTGCAAATGTTTGTATGTTTGTGTTTGTGTGTATTTGTTTCTGTGTACCTATATGTTGGCATCACGTTTGTTTTGTGTTATTTTGTTATTTAATTGTTATTACTTGTGTTCTTAACTTTTACATTTTACAAAGACAAACGCACACACATTATCTTCACATACACATACATACATCACACACACTGTATCAGTGATTAAAAAAGCGATATAAATTTAAAATTAAGCGCTTCATAATTATTAAAGTAAATTTTAATTAATTTTAAAAGTTGACTTAAATGAACAACAACAAAGTATTTAAAAATCTTTCTTCATTATTTTCAAATAGTATTTATTAAAATTAAATTAAATTAATTTAAATGCTTTTTAAAACATTTGTCACGATTTTTAAAAATTTGAAACATGGTAGCAGCAATTTCAAGCACTTTAATGTTAATCTATTAAAACATCATGATCATGATGGACATATTTTTGTGAAGAGGAACATCTCAAGAACTTGCTCCTACCATTTCAAATTTCTAGATGCCCGAGATAGAGATCATGCAGAAAAAGAAAAAGAATTAATAATTCATCAGGGACAGTATTTTGATGAGGCTGCTAAGAAGGCCAAAGATATCAAAACTTTTAGGGAGGCTCTTGATCTTTACATAGAAAAAAATAAAGCTCACAGGTGGGATGGGGTCGTCTAGATGTTTGTTTAGTTTAGGGTACCACCGTCACGTGTCAATCAATCATCTTTAATTAATTAATTAATTAATTAATATTCATAGTCATTTCATCACTTATGATTCCATTTATCACTCATTCATTTGCAAATCATCTTTCTTTATTATAATATTAAATTAAACAATAAAATAGAATTAAACAATCATCATTTACTTCAGTTTAGTTAGAATCTTAGATCCCAGAAATTACAACTTATTAGCAAATATTATTTAAACTATATTTCTAGGCGAGGCCACGTTGAATTCTTATATGCAGCCCTGAAGAGGATGTCTGACTTCAATGCCCACCAAGATATAGAGACGTACAAGAAGTTACTCAGTGTTTTTCCCAAATACAAAATGATACCAAAGAATGTTTGGCAGGTCGAGTTCATGCACTACCCCAAACAACAACAATGTTGCATAGATATTTTAGATTACATGGAAAGTCAAGGTTGTTTTTTTGTTACTTCAAAAAAATTTTTTAATTTTTTTTTGTTTTTATTATAAATATATTATTATTTATTCTTATTTATAGTAAAAAGAAATTATTTTACCAGGAGTTGTCCCTGATGACGATCTTGGTTACCAGTTAAGAGATTTGTTTGGTCAGAACTCGCATGTGTTCAGAAAGTATAGAAGGATGATGTTTTGGATGCCAAAATTTAAGTAAAACATTTTTTAATTTTCATAATTTTTTTATTTTATTATTACTGTTGCAGTTATTATTATTATTGTTATTATTATTCTTATTTTAGATTTCAGAATCCATATTACGTGCCATACGAACTACCATCGAACCATATTGAACTGGCTCGGATGGCTCTTAAGAGAATGTCTGTCGATCTCGCAACAGAAATTTCTGTTTTTCACGTTTGTCTCCCATTCTTATTTATTTCTTTGTTTGTTTGTTTGTCTTTTGTCTGTCTGTCTGTCTGCTTGTTTTTTTGTTTGTTTGTTTGTTTGTTTGTTTGTTTAGATATGCATCAATCAACTACTCAATCAGTCAATACCTTATATAAATACATAATAATATCAATAGATAAATCTATCAACCAACCAACAATTCAGTCGCCATCACTATCTAACCAACTAACTAACCAACCAATCATCAACTAACCACCCAATCACCAACTAGCCAACCAATCAACTAGCCAACTACACAACCAACCAACCAACAGACAGAAGACATCGCGACATCTAACGACAAGACCTTCATAGTATCAGCACAAAGCCCTGAACAGGCATCAATCCTCAAACAACTGCCGAAAAATGAGTCACTACTCGTCGAAGGTGGCTTCACAGTTTGGTTGAGGTCAAAGACCTTGACCTATTTTGTCCTAAAATCAGAACGAAACGATAATTTTCTCAAATTTCAGGCAGATTTTCAACCACATGATTATAAACAGGCCACTGAAAAACGTTAGCCAAGGAGTGTTTGTATGTTTCTGTGTGTGTGTGTGTATGTGTGTGTGTGTGTGTGTGTGTGTTGTTGTTTATGCATGTCAGTGTGTGTATGTCTTTGTATGTATGTAGTTGGTACCATACTTTCTGGTGTCAGTAAACCGCACAGTCAGTTTTAATGATCAGTACATTTTCAAGTATTTGATATGGTGTTGGTACTTCATGTAATAACGTCTTCCCACGCTAATATTCGTACGTTTTGTATCAAATGTTTCTAAACTATGTAAACTGCTTTTAATCCTATTATTATATTCATATACTAAACATTTTTACGAAATTTTTGACCAAAAATCCGTAAAATAAATTCAAAATGACAGGCGAGATGAATTTGTACACTTTTGATAAGGAGCCATCGGAGCATAACAAGAGTCTCGTCCTACCGCCCAGCATCCATGAACAAGAGGATGGTACTACACTGGCGATGTGTCTTACAGGTATTTGTTTTCAAGTATTTTATTTCCTCCATATTTTGCATTTATCAATTCAAACGTTTGTATTAGTATTTTATGTTTGTATATATTATATCTTTGTTTTAATTATTCATTGTATGCACCTAAATGCCTACAACACACCACGCATACACACACTTACACAAACACATACACACACACATACAAACACACTTTTACAAACACTCATACACACACACACACACACATTTACAAACATACACACATATACAAACACACATACACACACTCACAAATACACACACACGCACAGGTACATCTTCAAAAGATTCACTAGCATCGTGGATAAAATTTCTGGAGCGAAGCAATCCGTCACTCTCAAATATTCCCGTCCTACTGATGCTGAAATCTGCTACAAACGAACTCGAAGTTATCCGGAAAAATAATAATAATGATGATAATATGTAATAATAATAATAATAATTATGATAATAATAATAATAATATTAGATATAACATATATTAATAATTTTGTCATTGTTTTAAAAGAAATAAATATAAGAAATAATATAAGAAATAGTATATTATTATTTTTTTTGGTTTTGTATCTTTTCTCGTCTGTTGACGATGGAATTCATCCAACAGTCAGCTGATGGGTTGGAAAAATAAAAATAAAAAAATATTTATAGCAGAAATATTGGCAATAATAAAACGATTATTTATAAAAAAAAAAAACAAAAAATAACATTTAAAATTGAAATCTATTTGAAATACTGGTGCATGAACGTGTTTTTTAAACGAACGGCTCAGTTATTAACTGTAAACTTAAGCATGTTGTATTTGGTAGTAGGTGTAGAATTGATTTTGTGTGTATATATATGTGTGTATGTATGTATGTATTTGTGTGTGTTTGTAAGTGTGTGTGTGTCTTTGTGTAATGTATGTGTGTATGTAATCTCAATCGATATGTGATTTACATAATCAATTCTGTTGTTGTGTATATATATATATATATATATATATATACACAATACATGTGTGTCTCTTTGTGTGAATGTTTGTGTGTATGTGTGTTTGTGTGTGTTGTATCATTAGTATTAGTCATCTAACCGTTTTCGTCATCATAATTTTAAATCACAAATAGCATTACGGTCATCATCAGGATCATCATCATTGTTATTTTATCACAATCATCATCATTATCTCGCTACTATCACCATTAATATCTCACTACAACCGTCATCATTATCTCATCATCCTCATCATCATCGTCGTCGTCATCATCATAGTCTTCAGCCGCAACAACGAGGAACGATCGTATCCTTCGAATGAATGTTGTTGGCGTAGATGATGAAGATGATGACGGTTGAGAGGCCGACTATGAAACCAAAGAATGAGAGGATGTAGGAGTAGATGATATGTCTCCAGGCCGTTCTGTAATCGCCTCGCGACGCTGACTGCTTGCCAAGTACTGGTTGGTTGGTTTGTTGATTAATTGGTTGTATAGTTGGTTGATTGGCCGATTGGATGGTTGATTGATTGGTTGGTTGGTGGTTGATTGGTTGTATGATTGGTTGATTGATTGGTTGGCTAAATGTTTGAGAATTGAGTGATAAAGAATTAAGTGCATGAACGAGTGATTGATTGATTGATTTATTTATTCATTCATTCATTCGTTCATTTATGTGTTTGGTTGACGTGCTGCCTGATTAAAGTTGTGCAGCTGTCGAGAGAGTTCACGGTTTACCCAAGTTTATCAAACAATTCAAAATCACAAATCCGAGTTACTAACTGGCGTAAATGAGAGCACATAATCCGAAGATGCATCCAAAAAACAAGAAAACAAGAGCCGATAGAATGATAGCCCCAGTCACGTGATTATTCGTCGAAACCGTTCGCGATCGAACGTTCGTTTCTTGGCCACCACTACCACCATTACCACTACTACCATCTGTGTCGTGGGTTAATCTTTCCTGCGAATGTGGTGCGTAGTAAATCGGAGGCGGGTCAGTTTCGTATGGGACGTAGGGAGGTGGGTCACTCTGAGGCAGCTCCTGTCGCTGCTGCTGCTGCTGCTCTGATGACGATGGAGGTGAAGCCGGAGATGATTGTTGGCGGGCTGTCTGTTGTGGGGATAGTTGTATGTAATACAGATTGAACGGCTGTGGTACTGACGGATGAGGGTATGGAATGGGATTGGGATTCTCGACTGAGTATCCCGGCGGTAAGCTTTTGAGGCTCATTTTTCCGACTTTTCAGGAAAAAATACCTTTTTCTTTCTAGGAAAAGCGTAACAGACCTTCTTCCTTTAACTTCTCAAACAAAATATTTCAAACTCGATATATCCTATTGTCCTTTAGATTGAAATATTCAAAAACAAATTTTTAATTTATCTCTTATTATATTTTTTCAATTTTAGCCTGAAATACTAAATTAACTTGTTTACGGACTGAACTATTAGTGCATGTTAAATCATTGCAACTGAATTAAAACAAATTGTTGTTGTATAAAATACCATCAACAACATAACCGGCCAACACAATATAAAATTTGCCTTAATATATATATATATATATATATATATATATATATATATATATAATATATATATATATGTATATATCAACTATAATATTTTTCAATAATTTTTAATACTTTTTAACAAATTCGATGAAATATTTCTTATATAAATGAACCAGCGATATTTTTTTGCCACGCAAAAGGCTTCATCATACTCACCTACTCCGTCACATTATTTAACTTGATATGAGCATGTGAGGTGAAAAATTGTAGCACAAGGCATTGCATTGTAAAGTGTTTCGAAGTATATATATATAAATATATATATATATATATGAATAAATTTTCATCATAATTATATTATTTTTATTATTTATTTATTTATTCCTATTGTTAGTACACACACAAACACACACATATATATTTATATACATATATATATATATATATACATACAACATTCTTATTATTTATTTGTTTATTATTATTACTACTATTTAATTTATGCTAATCTATTGACAAATTTCTTTAATTAAATACGCTCATATGGGCTTCAGCTGATGATGACTTCGAGAACCTCTTAAAGTTTCATAGCTAGAGCTAAAAACGCCAGCATCACCCATATTGGACTGTGTAATGTAGTGGAATTTTACTAAATTCTTATTTCAATTCGTTATTATTATTATTGCTGTTATTTATGTTGTTATTATGTTATTATTATTGTTGTTGTTGTTTTTGTTGTTGCTAGCATTAAGTTCAGAGTTGGCTGTGTTTTTTCAATATGTTTCGCTATGCTACTACATCTTCATCAATGTCGCCGGCATCAACTTATAATAATAACAACAACAACAATAATAACAATAATAATAACAATAATAATATTAACAACAATAATTTAATGTCAGTAGTAACGTCGATTTACATCACCATAGATGACATCAACTTATATTACTATCATCTATATCTACCGGTTTCAGCACCATGGGATCTCACATGACGTGATGTCATTAACTATAACGGTCGTCATTTTCTAACGGTTCAATATAGCAGACTGCCGAGGAACGTTCACTGTATCTATGACCGTCTCTAAGAGAATCCTTCTTCCTATATAATTGCCTTGTCGATAACCCTGATGATAAAAGATTAAAGGTCGGTTAAAGGTTAAAGGTCAGCTGGTTGCACTTTCAATGAAAGGTTAATAAGAAGAAAATCGTTGAGTGACTCGCATGGAATCGTTATTTTGTTTTTTTTATATTGAAATTAACTTTAAACCTGAAACTATTTCGAAACAATTTACACACAAAATCATCCAAAATAAAGAAAAAAAAACTTTCAACACCAGGTTTCATCATAATTAGCGAACCAAAGATAACAAATTAACACTAAGAATATAATCAGAGTAAACGAACGATCGGTCAAAATTAATAAATTATCATCACCATTGCAAATGTATCTCGATTGATCTAAACGGAAGTCATATAGAGATCATTACCATCACCACAACCATCATCATCATCATCACCGTCATCAGTACCACGATCGAGATATACAACATCACCGTTGTTTACGACATTTTTGTTATTTTTATTGTAATTATTATTATTTTTATTATTATTATTTTTATTATTATTATTATTATTATAATTTTCGTAATCATCGATGACGTCATACGCATCTATGAGGTATGCCTTTCCGCTCTCGAGCGTCGAATTCTTATTGAAATTTGAAAGATGGCCACCATTCTTAACTCGATTTTCGAATTCTTTACCGCCACCGCTACCCCTACGCCTGCCACCGCGAACGTCATTGTCGCCGCGAACGTCACTACTGCTACGGTTACCCCCATCATGGCCATCGTTTGTAATTTCAATGGCTATTTCGTCATCTCCAGTCGGGTCCTCCATCCCTTGGTCCAGTTGTTTCCGGCAGAGGTGGTGGACTATGCCTGCCCCAATTGCGTCCCCTTCTACGTTGATGGCCGTCCGGAAGCGATCTCTGTGCGTGTGTACGTGTGTGTGCGTGTGTGTGCGTGCGTGTGCGTGTGAAAAAGAGAGATAGATGTGGTGGAGGAAGAGAAAGAACGAATAAAAGAGAAAGATAAAGAGAGAGAGAAAACTGAGGAGATTTCATATTTATATGTTAGTTTACATCATATTGTATATTCACATTGTAACGCTGGTGAATGTGTATTGTATACATCTCAAATATCATTTTATCATTTAGGAAAAGTTTAACCAATCAAAACTGACAATTTAAATCAATCCCAGCCTCTCTACTAACAGCAGCCAATCAATGGCCAGGATTTTTGTGACTTCTTCGGCCGGAAGTCCAACAGCACTGAGTACGATGACCATGGTCACGAGGCCCGCCTGTGGGATGCTAGCTGCTCCGATTGATGCTAATGTTGCCGTTAAACTGTCAAAAAATATTGTGGCTACGTGTGTGTGTGTGTGTGTGTGTGTGTGGGAGGGGAGAGGTGCTTAATTACGGAGTCATGTGATCAGACGATCATGCTTTTATGTTATGCTTTTTTTCCAAATAAAGTTGTGGAGAAATGTCAGAAGAAACATTCAAAGACACCTGACAGCAAGGATCTGTGCGATGTTGAGGTGAAGGTGGTTTGCTTGGGCGATGAAGATGGCAGCCACCGCTTCGTAGAGGGCCGTGCCATCCATGTTGATGGTCGCCCCGACTGGCAGCATGAAGCGAGTCACGCGTCGATCCACTTTTAAATTATCCTCCAAGCATCGGTAGGTCACTGGAAGGGTTGCAGAACTGTTGGATGAAACGTGTTGCGATTCATTGTGGTTTAAGTTTTTAAGTCGTTGTGATGGTGTTGCATTGTCGTTAACATGTTAACGTTGGTATCAAGGACTGTAAGATTTGTTAACGTGGAAGTCTCACCTAAAGCAAGCATTTTTTTTCATTTTGATCAGGCATTTTTATAAAATTATAAGTAAAATATTCAAGAGTCTTCTCGAAATTGAATAGAATATCATTTTTTAAAAATCGCTCGTGTGATATTACAGAATTATACCAAAAAAAATTTTTAAATGATCACACCTTGAGGCAGTGCCAAAGGCAGTGAGCATGGCCTGACTCATCTGGAGCATGTACCGGAAAGGGTTTTTCCTGACGGCGATGAAATATATCAGAGGGAGGACAATGAATCCGTGCGTTAACAAGCCAACCAACACCGTCAACATGTACCAGCCTAGTAAGAGATAGGGAGATAGATAGATAGATAGATAGATAGATAGATAGATAGATAGATAGAGAGAGAGAGAGAGAGAGAGAGAGAGAGAGAGAGAAATTATTTATAAATTATTTATTTGTTATTATTCATATTATATTTATTACTTATATCTTTTTCTCATTTTTGTTTACTGCTAAAAATATTTTGATTTTAATTGTTTTTTAAGTACAAGTAAATTATTTTGTGTTTACGCGCAACGCTCTCAATTACGGTGAAAATTTCAAACTTCTGCATGCAAATTAAACTTCAAACACGCGTCAAGTAGTACTCAGAATTTGAAAAATGTTTTAAACACTCGAGATACTTCATCACAATCCAACCAGGCAATCAACCAACCGACAAAACAATCTACCAACCAACCAGCCAACCAAACAACCAGCCAGCCAAACAGCCAGCCAGCCAAACAGCCAGCCAGCCAACTGACCAACCAAACAACCGACCGACAAATCAGCCAACCAACCGTCCAACCAGCCAACCGACCAACCAGTCAATTGACCAACCAACCCAAAGAAAACAGACTGGCCATGGGATTATCCATTCTAATTATTTCATGGGCTATTAGGAAGATTATTCCAATGGGCGAGTACCTTTATGATACGATCAAATTTATTTGTGGAACATTTTTTTCAAATTTAGAATTTGAAAATTTCAAATAATTGGCAATCACAAAATTATCAGAAAACCAAAAATGTTTTCAAAATGAACGATAGATAGATAAACACTAGTTTACTTCTTTTATTACTGTTATGCAATATTTCGAAGAGTATATGGTCTTACATTTCGTGTTTAACTTTAGTAAACATTGTGTTAAATCTTAAATCTCTCTCTCTCTTTCTCTATCTATCTCTCTCTTTATTTTCTTTTTACACAGATATATTACACAGTATGATTAATAATAATTTAATCTGATAATTAACAAATTTGTACGCAAAATTGATCAAATTTTTCTCCCACTCTCTCTCTCTCTCTCCCTTTCTCTCTCTGTCTTTCTCTGTCTCTCTCTCTCTCTCTGTCTGTCTCTCTCTTTCCCTCTCTCTCGCTCTCTCTTACCGAACCAAAAAAACTTATACACACACAAAAAAGGGTGCAAACAAACGAACCAAATAACCAGGGTCACTAGAATCATGGATGCCTCGGCCAGGCCGGTGCACATCTGGGCAAACGGTCGCCCCAACTCCCCCAGCTTGGCCACAGCGACACCGAGGGCCAGTGAGAAAAGTACAAGCCCCAATACGTTCGATCCATCTTCCTTTATTACCGATATGTCGTATAACGTTGCTGTTTTGATTTGTGGTGTAGGTATTTGGTGCCGGTGATTTTGGTGGGTGTGGCGGTGATTTTGAAGAAGATGATGATGATGGTGATGGTGGTTATGATGATGATGATGGTGGTGGTTATGATGATGATGATGGTGGTGGTTATGATGATGATGATGGTGGTGGTTATGATGATGACGATTATAATGGTGGTTATGATGATGATGAGGATGATAATGGTGGTGATTGTCAGGATGAAAGAAAGCTTTCTTACTCACAATTTGTTATCGGAATTAGTTTCGTCTTCGACTGAAAATTGGTTTTTGAAAATGTTCATTTTGAATATGTTCTTGAGATTATGAATTAATGAATGGATAGATGAATGGATGAACGAACGAACAAACAACCAAACAAATGGTTAATTAATTAATTGAAAGAGATTTTGAATAAATAAATAAATTAATTAATTAAATACTTGTCTGAATGCTGCTTCGACGATGTTATCAGGAATCAGGTTTCTAATGGTTTTTAAAGTAGTTTTTAAAAAAATGCGTCATAATTTCAATTACAGATTAATATTTAATTCTTTGTCAACTTTACAATAACCAACGAAATAAATTTTTAAATTTTTAAACTCATCATAGTCATCATCATCATCGTCGTAGTCTTCATCGTCATCATCATCATCTCCACCATCATCACAATCGTCTTCATCATCACCATTAGAATCATGATCACTGACCTTAGTAGATCAAGAAAGGAATCTCCCATGCTTGCTTGCTCAGTCTTCTTATCAGCCGCAGTTTGGTTAGTGGCTGAATTTGCTTTGAAACCAGGCTGTATGGAAGTCACTAAAATTATTCCATTAATCACGGCTAAGCAGGTTGTCAATACGTAGTAGACAATAGAATAAACACCAATTTTGCCGGAAGTTTTCAAATCCAGGGAGGCCAATCCGGATATGAGACTGGAGACGATAAGGGGTAAAACGAGGGCCTTGAGGGCACGCATCAAAAGGTCACCTGGAAATTTGAAGTAGATAAATTGTCGGCTGGTCCAGTCGGCAGTCGCGTTGTTGTTCCGCATGACGATGCCGGTCACTATGCCGATGATGAGGCTGAAGATGAGGAAGATGACGAGGAGGTAGGGTCTGATTCGCCTGAATATGAGTGATAGTGTCGATTTTATGGTTCTTGGTGGCGTCGGTGGTAGCGTCTGTGTGTTTGTGGCTGTTGGCTGCTCTGGTAGTGGTAACGCTGGTGGTGCTGGTGGTGGCGGTTCGGTCGACATTTTAGAATTTTTTGCTGGATGCATTGAGAGAGGCATATTTTTATGGTGAGACTATTTTATTTTATTGAATTTTTTTATCTATTTTTGTCTTTCTGCTTAATTTGTTGTTGTCGTTGTCGATACTGTTGTTGCAACTGACGAGACAATATTCTTTTCGTTGAACAGGTAGGCCAGACTCTAATATTTATACGATTTTTTCCAAAATTATTGCGAAAAAATTTCCATGCGATACATTATTGGACAAACTTTTACACGCAGTTATTTCAAAATATTTCTTGGTTTGCTAATTCTTCTTCACATGAAGCTATGAATTTAGTTTAAAATAAAATATCAGGTTATTTATAAAGATAAGATGATTAATAATATCGGTGTGAATATAATATACAGGGCTGTTAATAAAGATTATTAACTTTGTTTGATTGAGTCATTGACTCGTTTGGGATAATCATTAATTTTTTTAGTATATTTTGTAGTGTGTGATCTAACGCGTCATATATTTTTACTAGTTTGTTAGTTTTTAGCTATTTAATTTTTCAGAAATGATAGAAAATGTGTTTTGCGTTTGTCAATGTGTGATTTTTACCTTTCTGCATTTGTGAATATATAAATCAAAATATTACAGAGTGGTATAAACTCAATATTTGTGATAAGTTTTCCAATTTTAATTAAATAATTCAATCAATTTAAATCTTAATAAACCAAATTTTTATCTTTTAATAAAAAAAATTTAACTTTTATTAACCCCAAAAAGACAATTAAACTCTTGTAACGTTTAAAACTGAATGAGATCAAGAAGTTATAAAATCCTTCTTGAACAAATTTACCTCACTCTAATTAGGCGATGTGACGAATGCATGTGTTGCAAATAAGCCTAAGCTAAACTCTATATATACACTCTATACATGTAAATGACTTTGCTCGCTTGTATTATACATCCAAGGTATCATCTTCAATGTATTAGTCCTATACAATTAAATGATGATGATGAGGAAAGCGCTTGTCAGTTTGTTACTGCTACTGCATACGCGCGCGCACACACACACACACCACACGAACATACAACACATACAAACATAAACATACATACACCCATAAACAAATTTTATAACATTCATTCCTGTAAACTTTCATCATTATTTTTGCATTTGAAAAATCTTCGATTATTATTAATAATTATCTAATCATTCTTTTATTATTATTGTTTATGTTATTATTACTAGTATTATTATAGCGCTGCATTGACGAAAAAATTCAAAACATATAGCACTATAAACGAGCAATTTGTATGCAAATGCCAGTCGAATATGCAGATTTCAAATGGTCTTGTCAGGTTACCGTGATAATGTTGGTTGCATGGCATGGGTAGTTGAATGATCGAGTGTTTAGCCGTTGGTTGATCGTTTAGCTGCTGGTTGATTGATTGGTTGTTTAGTTGTTGGTTGATTGGTCTTTCAACAGATTACCTAAGTAACCACGCATCATACAAGATTTTTTTCATCATATTTTTACCCAACCTTTTTCCAACCAAATCAAAAAAGGCTTTCATTATAACCAATAGTTTCAATACAATCACCAACATCATTATGGCTGAAGAAGCGCTTAAAATTTGACGTCTCCAACTGCCCAGTACTCTTAAATGAGGCAGCTACTTTAAAGGAGTGTATGCCTTTATAGTGGAGTCAACGAGATCATGATCTGAGAATTAACAGATCTAGTAACTCTGTTAATTACTAGAGCTGTTAATTAGTTTTGAAATTGAAACTAGATCTAATATTGTTGATTAAGTAGTTAACGGATGGAAAAGTAGGGTGTCGAGTTACCATTAGAACTAGTAGCCAATGTTGGATCTAGAAGGGCCTTCTTTGCCTTGTATTTTACAACGTCGTCTAGATCCGCAACCGCTAGCAGCAGCAGTAGTAAAATCAGTATTAGCAGTACTAAAATTAGTAGTAGTAGTAATCTGATATGTAGAATTAGCAGTGATAATGATATGCTAATTAATAAAATTGTTATAATTATTATCAGTAATAAATAGTAGTAGTAGTAGTGGTAGTAGTAGTAGTATTAGTAGTAGTGGTAATAATAAGTCACCTCTTCGCTATATATTTTCAAGAGCCGAGAGCGTAAATTTTATGAAGAGTTTATTCATTTACTCTTATTGAAGTTAACGAATAATAAAAATATCTATGTATCTGTATATAAATATATATATATGTATATGAAACAACTACAAATATGTACGTGTGTGTGTGTGTGAATGTATGTGTATTACATGCATATGTGCCTGTGAGAGTGCGTGAGTATGTGCGTGCGTATGTGTGTTTGCAGATATGCAATGCATGTGTGTGTGTGTTTGTGTGTGTGTGAATTTAACGTGGTGTTTGTAAGTGAACGTGCGTGAAATGTATCGGTGTGTGTGTGTGTGTTTAAGTGAATGAGAAAGTGTGTGACAGCCATAAAAAACGTTGAATTAGCATACACTCGATGTAAAAGTTCTAGCATAAAATATAGATAAAATGGTTTTAACGTTAACTTCGGCTGAAAGCAAACCTCAAATATACACACATAATGGGTGGTGGGTATGAATTATAAATTTAAAAGTGGTATATATATATATATATATATATTTGTGTGTGTGTGTGTCATTGGTTCATTCGTTCGTTCATTAAATTATTCATTCATTCATTCATTCATTCATCCATTTGTTCATCCATCCATTCAGACATTCATTTCACTCAATCAATCAATCCACCCATTCGTTCAATCTTTCGTTCATCAATTGTTTCCGTCACTCATCTGAAACAATATAGAAATAACTCTAAAATAAATCTAGGTATATGCTAAATACATACTGATAATATATATATATATATATACAATACATACATCATATATTATATGCATCATAATATTATTTACAATATATACAAAGGAGCACCCAAAATAACGCAATCAATCACTCATTCAATCATTCAATCACTCAACCAATCACTCACTCACTGACTCACTCAATCAAACTAAAAAATGAATTGACAACAAGCAGTTATATTTTTCAACCATATATAGGTTAAACCTAAAGGTCACTTAAATATTAATTATCATAATTTATTATTATTATTATTTATTATTATTAATTATTATTATTATTAATTATTATTATTATGAACCCAGACTAAATGTCGATACACATGAGCACGAGAAAACTTACATATGGAATGGATAAAAAAACAAACAATAATAATAACAACAACAACATTAACAACAACAACAATAATAACAACTAAAATAATAACAACAACAACAACAATAGCAACAAGAACGACGACAACGACATAGGCAAGTTAAATAAACTAAAAAAAGATACTGATTAATATTTCCTTGACATTCTCATGTCTACTGTTAATAAACACTTTAAAAAAATTGAGCACACACACACATACAAACAAACACACATTCACACAAACAAACACACACACACAAACACTGAATACGAAATACGCAAATGTAGATAATCGTCAAACTGATATATTAATACACATAAATACCTAAATACATAGCGTTTAATAAAGACTGTGTGATCGGTAAAAACATCTAATACATTGTTCAAGTAGGTAATGTGAGCTTTTTATTAAAACCACACACACACAAACACACACTAGCAAACACACACACGCATACAAACACACACACACACACACATACAAACAAACACACATACACTTTAAAATATTGAAACACGTAGACTTATATACTATTGTTAAATTAGCTATTTTTTTTCGTTTTTTTTTCTAATCAATGAATTCTCTACTGGTTAAATACAATACTGATAAGTACGATCCTAAGAATGTTCCTAAAATTTGTACACACCTTCTAAAACATCTTGCCGTATTGCGTAATAATAATAATAATAATAATAATAATACATTGACTCTGTATGTGTAATAATAGTTATTTTTAATATTCGCACACACAAACCACACGCACACACATACACACACACACACAGAGACACACATACTTGAAAACATACATAAAAAAGTTATGAAACTCCGTCATGCAATATGTAAAACTTTAAAACTTCAAAAATCACTCGCTTGTAGGAACCGTTGTAAAAAATTTATAACCATAAGTCAGGCATCAGCTAACTAAATAAACTAAATAATAATAAAATACTACATCATCCAGAAATAAATAAATAAGTAATTATAACTATAATAGTAATAATTATAAACTTTATAAAAAACTGTCTTGCTTTTTGTATGATGTAAGGTTAAGGGCATATACTAACCAGTTAGTCTTAGGGTTTGATCTACGACTGACCATAATATTAGAAAAAAAATTATTTTAGAATATTTAAAAGTGGACAAATAATAATAATAATAATAATAATGACACGCCACAATTCTTAACAATGGAAACGTTTTGACAGATGAACAGTAAAGCCCAACAACAACAACAACAACAACAACAACAACAACAACAACAACAACAACAACAACAACAACAACAACAACAACAACAACAACAACAACAACAATAATAATAATAGTAATAGTAAACCATAATTAAAAAAGCTATTGACGAACGACTTGCAAAAAAAATGTCATAGAATCTTTAACAGTCACGATCAACATTAACAATTACAGAATTGAAGAAACAAAACAAAACTAAACAAATAAACACGTAAATACAGAGTAAAAATAAACATCTGCCAGAAAAATGGAAAAAAATTCGCTCAAAAATGAAAAAATAAAATGCTTTTAATAAATACAGTTCAACTATCTATCTATCTATCTATCTAACTATCTATCTATCTATCTGTCTGTCTGTCTATCTATCTATCTATCTATCTATCCATCCATCCATCCATCTATCCATCTATCAGCCAGTCAGTCAGTCAATCGATCCACCGGCCAACCGATTCGATCAATGGCTAACATTAATATCAGCATCACTTGAAACCACATTAGCACAAGGAGCGTCAGTGTGGTCGTTGTTGTTGTTGTTGCTGCTGTTGTTGTTGCTGTTGTAGTTATAGAGGCTATTTAATATTTTAACGCTTGAAACTTCAAAAACGTCATCGTCGTCGTCTATGTCATTGCTGTCGTTACAGTTACTAGTAGCAATGTCATTTCTACATATCTTGTTTGTAACCTTTGATTCAAAACGGTTTTTATGAGAGATTAAGTTTTTATCACCAGAGTTAAAAGATTGCCGAACTGTCGTTTTAATGGTGGTGGCTATTGCTGTTGCTACTGTGGCTGCTACCGTGGCTACATTTTTTATTGGTGACGTCATTGTTGCTGCGGCCGTTGACGTTGTTGTTGTAGATGACGTAAGAGTGACGTCATTCGCTAAGGCACGTGATGTTATAATACTTTGTTCTTTAATGTCGCTAGATTCATCACAACCATCATCATCATCGTCGTCGTTTTTAAATGGTAGAGAAGTAACATTACCATCATTACTATTATTAACATTATTATTATTATTATTGTTGTTATTATTATTATTGTTATCATCAACATTGTAGTTGAGATTTGAGGCCATCTGCTGGACAAACTGACCCAGCAGGAGTGCAGCACTTCTGCACTCCTCAACTTTGCTGTACACTTTCTGTTCAAATTGTTTCATCATTACAATTACAGCTATAAAAAATACATATACAACAGAGCTATATATATATAATGTATCTCTCTCTCTCTCTCTCTCTCTATATATATATATATATATACACACTTCTGTAATGATCAACTGTACGTACATACAATGAAACAATATATATATAAGGATAGGAATAATATGTATATGCAATATATAACTATATACACGTGTGCGTGTGTGTACATACGTGTGTATGTGTGTTTTTGTTAGGGTGTATGTGTGTTTGCGTGTGTGGGTACATACCATTTTTTCCATGAGACTATCAATGCTGAGAGCGACTTGATTGACGTACGATGGCGGGTCCATGGACAACTGAACAAACTGATCAAATATCTCGCAAGGATGTGTCAGAGGTTTCTAAATGGTGAAAACAATAATGATACACAAACACCTACCAACACACACACACACACACACACACACACACACACACACACACACACACACACACACACACACACACACACACACACACACACACAAACAAAGGAGCAAACAAAGGAGCAAACATACTTTTGAAGATTGTTTACTATCCCTTCTATTTCTTCTCAAAGTTCTGACTATTTTTGCATTTAAAAAATTATCCAATAAGATTATTTTTATCATAAAATTAAAAGATAAAGCACACCTTCTGTTTGGCTGGAAAGATTTGATTGGTCGCCTTCAGGAACAGTGGGAGGAGTTATGAACTTTCTGAGGTAGTCAATCAGTAATTTGCATACCTGCCCTTCACTCATTGGTCGGCTGATTTAGTAAATAAATAAATTGTTTCAGGGCATACTAAAATTTATAAATGGAAAAAAGTGACTCTTACCTTTCGTGATTGTAAGAATTTTTTCTAGACCTTGTATATCTGTGTTGTTGCTGCTGTTGTTGTTGATGATAAAAATTCTGATGTAGAGGCTGGTGTTGTTGATGTATAGGTTGTTGATGTAGAGGTTGTTGTTGTTGATGTAGAGGTTGTTGTTGTTGTGAAAACTGTTGATGTTGTGAAAATTTTTGTCTTTTTTCTTTACTGTCCTGCTTATATAAAGTTTTACTGCCATTGAAACTGTTGCTTTTGGGATATTGTCTGTGAAAATTTTGTTGCTTTTGTTGTTGAGTTTGTTGTTGTTGCTGCTGTTGATCTGATCGTAGTTGCTGTTGTTGGTGTTGCTGTTTCAGCTGTTCGAGGTCAAGTGGTGGTCGTTCCAGACTTTTCCTCTTCAGTTTTTTCAATTTGGTGATGTGGTCCTGGAGGACCTGTTAGTTAGGGTGCCAATAAAGCATATCAACGTCATTGTCAACACCACCATTGGCGATCTGCATTCAAGTCCTCATCATCTGCAGACTTCATTCACATCCTCATCATCTGCAATCAAAATCATAATCTAAATCCAGATGACTAACATCAATCTCCTTTCTTAGATTTCTCAGTCCGACTCTTTTAGTCTCAATTGATTTCTTTAGCTTATTGTATTCACTGCAATTAATTAATTGATTGATTAACTAATTAACATTTATAACATTTCATACAAACAGTGAAAAATCAATCACTTATTCACTCAATCAAGTAGCCAACTGACCAATCACTCAACCAATCAACCAGCAAGTCAACCAACCAACCAGCAAACCGACCGACCAATCACTCAGTCAACCAACACTAAATTCTTCTTAGACTTGTTCAGCCCGTTAATCTCCTCAACAATCTTCCTCTCCTCGGATAACTTGAAGTTCCTACTCTGCAGTTCCTTCTGCAGACTGTCAATCCTTTTATCAATGACCTTGTCATTCGTTGCCTTCAGAGTTCCTCTGATGTTTGACAGATCTGCTTCCTACAAATTAAATCAAATTGAAAACTGGATAAATAAATAACTGAAAAAAAAATCCTTTTAACAAAAGTTATATAGCACAATTGAATAAACAAGCTACAAACCATTTTCGTTGTCTCCTCATTCAGCCTCTTCAAATCTGACTTCTTGCTCTTCAACAGATCCATATCCTGTTGCACATCCATGAACGATGACGTCACCGATGACGTTTCAGATGCCGGCGACGCTAACGATGACGACGACAACCATGACATCGATGAGGTTGTCATCATTGCCGTTGTTGGTGTTTTTGTATCCGTTGTTAGTGTTGCTGCTGTTGTTGTTAGTGTTGTGTGAGCAAGTGGTGTGGCCCAGGCATTGCTTGTTTTGGTTGAAGTTAACTTTATCAACTCGCTAGCATCTGCTGTTGTTGCTGCTGCTGCTGCAACTAACAATGTTGATGACACTGATGATGGAGAGGATGATGACGTCATTGAAAACACTGATGACGATGATGATGATGACGATGATGATGACGTTGGTGGTGGTGATGTTGCTGATGATGATAGTGTAGAGACTACTCTTGAAGAAGAGACAGAGGAAGATGACGAAGATGATGTAACATGTGACACTAAAGCTGCTGCAGCTGATAAACTCTGTAATGGTTTTGCAATGTCAGCTGCCGATGACATTAAAGATTGGGCGATTGATGTATGGGTAAGTGATGCTATTTCTTCGTTATCAAAAAATGGTGATAGAGTTAGTGACAAAGGAGATGTTGTTGATGCAGATTCTACTATTGTAACAACATTACACTCTGCAGTTGGAGTAGTAACTGAAGTAGATTCAAGTGATGTAGCTGAAGATGAAGCTAATGTAGTAACTGCAGATGTTGTTGTTGGAGCTGCTGATGTTGAAGCAGTATGTGATGCTGCTGCTAATGTAGTTTGCATTGTTGTAAGTGTGGTTTGTGTAGTTGTTGTAGTTGGGGGTGCCAATGTACCAAGTGTGGTTGCTTCTGTTACAGCTGCAAATGTAGTCTGTGGCTTACTTTTAACAGCAGCCACCCAAGATGAGAAGGAGGTATTACAGTATTTTGACGTGGTTTCAATTATTTCTTTAAATGTAGTTAAGCATGTTACATGTTCATATGCAGTTGTCATAATTGATATTGCTGCCGATGTTGTTGATGTCATTGATGATGTCGTTGTTGTCGTTGGTGATGTTGCAGCTGTCGTAGTTGATGTTGTATTTGCATCATTTGTCCATGAGGAAATTGAAGTTCTGGACGTTGTCGCTCTAACCGATGAACAAGATGTTGATGATGAAGATGCAGATGATGAGGATGATGATGATGTAGACCATGGAGATGATGCAGACGATGATGGTAATAACGTAGGTGATGAATGAAAAGGTGTATATCTGAGGTTTCTACCAGTTACAATCCGACTTTCCACATTACTTGTGGTAGCTTTGATCGACGATCGACTACTACAACCACATGGGAACTGTTTAGTGGCTGTTGTAGTTGGCTGCGGCTGTGTACCCGCTAACGAGGCAACTGCCATCGCATATGATAGTTTGGTAGTAGTTGGTGATGTTGATGATGTAGATAATGTAGTAGATGATGATGTTGTCAACGATGATAGAAATGGTGATGTTTTTGAAAGTGATGCTATGGAGGATGGTGATGAAGATGGTGAGGACACTAATGATGTCAATGGCATGGTCGATACCGGTATCAGTAAGTCTGTTGAAGCTGAAATTGTCGTTGTTGAAACCGTAATTGTGGTAGAAGATGTCCCCATCATCGATGTTGTTGATGTTGTTGGCAACATTGTTGTTGATGTTGTTGTGGTCAGAGTTCTTGATGCAGGCCCAGAATGATTAGACTGTTGAGTAGCAGATAAGAGCTCAAGTGAAGCATCATCATTCTTTCTGGAACACTTTTTAAAATCAAAATTGAAAAAAAATGAAACAATTTATATACTATAGTCAATGAAAAATTTCTTGATTAGAAAACTTAATAATAAATATTCATATAATATATATGCACTGCTTATACAAAAAATTCATAGAGGAAAAAAGTTTCTTTAGAAAACTAACAAGAGTGATATCTTTTGAATCAACTTTTGAATCATTGTCAGATGTTGCAGGATCATCAGTCTGCTGATCAACAAGCCCCACTGGGAAGCCTTCATTTTAGTTAGGTTAAGTGAAGATTTTTTTTGGAGATTTATTATGCAAATGGTTTGAAAAATAATATTCTGTGTTTTCTATTTCATGAAAAAATATATGGCGATAAATGGCCATGAGGTGTGGACCAAAAATTCAAAGAAAATTTGATCAGAATTGAGAAGGTTAAATTTGAAGAGACCAATTTTTTGAAGAGATTGTGGGGGCTTTGACTAAATAAAATATTTAAATTGAGACCTAAAATGATGGTGGTGAATGATTGATATGTGATAACATAACTGTTATATGTGTTATTGTTATGTCATAACATAACATCATAATATTCATATGAATGAATGAGTAAAAAAATCATATTATTTCAATATTCTACATAAAAATGATAAAATTAAAACAATAAAATTAAAATAACTAAAAGATATGGTTCTGTCATTCAAAATATGATGATATCAGCTTTGTAAATAGCGTCAAACGCAAATTCATTTATTGATGATTCATTATGTATGATGCAGGACAGGCAGGCTGTTGCATAAGTCTGTTGCATACTTTAATTACCAAAAAATCCACATACTCATCCGTGATAAAAATGGGTATATATATATATATACGTAACGTCCTCACACTAACATCGATCCGGTATATAAACAATTTATAAAATAGAAAAGTTTATTTTAGTACTTAATTTTTTTTTATGGTCGAAAATTGGACAATTAAAAAAAATAACCAGAGAGAATACGAACCCGGACAGTTTATGAAGACAGTGCCAGCGCTCATGATTTTTGATTGACATCAAAATAAAATAAAGGAATAATTAGAGAATTTTTATCAAAATTTTACACCAATTGCCATCAACTATATCGTTCTCGTATCAATTTACGATTAACTTTTAATTTGCACGAGGTCACGATGGGGCGCGTTTTTTATTTAAACTTTCTTTAATATTCGTCATTGTGGTTGGTTATTGGTCATTAATCATCAAAATGTGTTAATGATTGCTTTATAGGTTTATTTCAATGATAAAATGTAATTTTTTTTTCTAAATGTAATCTTCGAACGAGCAAACAGGAACTAGAAGATTCTATTGAAACCGGATATGTTGTTTGTTGACGTCATCTACCTACAAAAGGTTAATAACATGTTGCTGTTTTAACGTTTTGTGAAAACTCAATGCTTCTATTTTTAGCCATAGATTAGCTTACTTACAATATTGCAATATTTTCATTAAAACTGAAAAAAATAATTCAAAATACATAATTCAAGGTTCATTAGTTAATTAGTTGATTGTTCGATTGGTTAGTTAGTTAAATGACTGATTGAGTGATTGTTTGGTTATTATCATAAAATAAATAAAAATACTTTTCCAAAAATTTAATAAATTCTCAATTTGATTTCATTGCGATATCGATGATGATGATTGCGACTAATTAAAGATCAAAACTAAAACAAAGGAATAGATTGATATTTGTAGTTACATTTATATTTTTATATTGATTAGCATTGTTATTGTTGCTATTTTTGTTTAACTCCTCATCTTCTCATTTCTCTCATACATGCATGACAACATTCACACATACATAAGCACGTACATAATCACATACATGATGTTTTTGATTTTAACGAAAACCCACCAGAGGAACCGACCTTGACATTTAAAATATTTTTTAATTTAATTTCTTGCACACAAACAAACACATACATACGCGTTAACATTCACACATACATAAGCCCATACGTAATCACGTACATGATGTTTTTGAATCTGTAAAAACATATCAAAGAAACCGACCTTGACATTTAAAAAAAAATTTAAATTAATTCCCTTGAGCCAGAAACGCCTGATCTCATTTTTTATATCTTTACAATTTTTTAATTTACTTTTATTTATCTTTATTTTTTAGTTATGTAGGATTATATAGAATTATATTGAGGTATATTGAGGTACATTGAGGTATATTAAGGAATATTGAGGTATATTCAAATACATACATAAACACATTGCATTGGTATTTGAGCGTAATTTTATTTTCATTACACACTCTAATTTATTATTACTAAGGTTGAGAGTAATTTAATTTCATAGGTAGTTAAAAGCAATAATTTAATTCTAGGAACAATCTTGTAATGTAAATTAAAACGCTGTAAGTGTATCGATAGGTAGGTTATTAAGTTTTACATTATTATTATGTTGGAGCCCAAGGCATTACGTAGGTGGTGGGGTGGGTGCCAAAAGGCCAATGAATTGGGCTCTTGAGTTATGTAATTTAATTGTAATGAATAAGTTAGTTGAGGGTACGATAACCGATTGACTCTGGGTTTCAAAGTCCGTTGTCTGGGGTAAGCCTTGGTGGCCAGTGGTGATATATATTGTTATAATATTAATAAATGAATGAATGTATGAATGAATGAATGAATGAATGAATGAATGAATGAATGATGAATGAATGAATGAATGAATGAATGAATGAATGAATGAATGAATGAATGAATGAATGAATGAATGAATGAATGAATGAATGAATGAATGAATGAATGAATGAATGAGTGAACAAACGAATGAGAACTATCACAGAATAAAACTGAAACTTTAAAAATTTCATTCAGATGGTTCGAAAATTCATTTGACGCTTTCATTCATAAATCAAGCAAATAGGTACAACATACTTCTTTAATGAGTTATCAATAATAAATTTAAAAGAATAACAATTGAGACATCATTTTAGGTTTACGAATCAAAATGCTTTGAAAATAAATTATTAATTAAATAAATAATTTGGGGAAAATATTTGTACATTACATAAGTACAGACATAAGTAAATAAATAATTATAAACTAACGATACACACTCACACACACACACACACACACACACACACACACACATGCACGCGTAAACTCACACATACATATATACACACAGACGAAGATATATAAACACATACACAGAACATTGAATATTCCATGAAGATCAGTTTATAAGAACATCAACAATCGGTATCTATCTTCTCAAGGACTATGCTTGGGCAGGCGGTCGCCGCTGAGGTAACATTGAACGCTGGCGCGCAATTTTTAACTTTTCCTACTGCGGTTGGCGAAGGTTTCTCACAAGTTGAGGCCGTTGAGTTGTGTCGCGAAGAGAAAATATTCGAACTAGGTCGTGTTTTGAACGTTGGGGATAATTCTACGCCACCTTCATTGTCGTTGCCTAATATGAAGACACACATCGGTTTGCTCTCGCCTCGTTTTATTAGAATATCCTCGCTAGCGGAGTCGCGTTTGTTGCCACCACTACCGCTGCCGCTACTTCCGCTATTTGATTTCGCCCTCCTGATGAGTTTTTCCGTTTCTTGGATGTCTTGTAGGCTGTCCACGGCGTCTCCGTTGTCATCTTCGTCGTTGTCCTCGTCGAAAAAAAATCCATTTTCAGTTTTAGAGTTGGCGTTCGATGTAATAGTTGGAGTGTTCGTCGCTGAAGAAGTTGTTGCGGTTGTAGCGGTTGTAGCTGTGTTGAAGTCTTCGTTTGTGGCTGGAGGCACGGCGTTGTAGTACCAATCTCTGTTGTATTCTAACGATTCTATGATTTCTCGACAGCCTGGCTCAACTAATTCTGCCCAGGTATCCCAGAGCGGATGAACGATGTAGTCGATGAAACCCACCTATTTCGTGAAAGCACAAGTGATGTACTGATGGAGATATTAACTAGGTGACTAGTTTTAAATTTAATAAATTAATGATAGAAACATGGGCTGATAAAATTTAAAATTGGCATTATAGATTTTTCTTTGCCGTTTTGAAAATTATTAACGTGATTATTAAAAAAAAACCAACCTGTGATTTTTCGACGGTGGCAGTCAGTCGATCGCACATGGGACTAATGTCCAACTCACGTTCCCTCTCGGCATCACCCTGTCGAAAGAATTCCTCCATGATTGCATCTGTCCACTTCTTGTAGAGAGGAAGAGGTTTCGTTGGATTGCTGAGGTCTGCGCAGTGGATCATGTGCTGCAGGATCTTTGGGCATGGAAAGGGTAATTGCTGGGGTTATCCAATTTTATCAGTGTGTGATGTTTAGTGTAACAGTTGTTTGTGGGTGTGATTCTTTGTTTAGATTTTTAACTTTCGCTGAAAATTTGAAACTTTTTCTTAATTTTAAAATTAGTTTCTCGAAACTTATAGGACAAACGAGCATAAAGTAAGTCAATTTTGTATCAACTTCACGATAAGTCATATTTGCCAGTGATTTATACCATAAAAATCAATACAATAACCAAAAAAAGTAGCAAAATAACCATGAAAAAAAAAAACAGAAAAAAAAACCAAAATCGAACCAGCAATCTATCGCTGTAGTTCTCCTGGCTGAGTATGTCGGCTCCTGATAACTTTCTGGCCTCAACCATGGTCTTGAGGTGAGCAACGTGGTCCATGTGTTTGTTCATATCTGTCGCTAACACCTTCCAATCAACAACGAAAAATTATTTTTTTAATATAGAAATTAAATATTATAGATTAAAAATAATTATAAATCTCTTTATGATTTAGATGAATTTCAGAAAAAAATTTCAGAACAATTTTATAAAATATTTGATATGATAAAAATTATCGATATAGAAAAGAAATACCTCTAAGCCAAAAAACAGACGGATATAAACTATAACCTAGCAAGCACACAAACATACACACACAAACATACACAAAAACAAACACACACAAACATACACACAAAAACACACATACATACAACTGAAATGCTTAAGCCAGGATTTATCGTCTGACGTCTAAACTTGCAACACCAGAGATGAATATTTCACGAAAGAATGCTTAATCTGATATTATCGCTCATACATACAAACATATATAAATACATACATGCACATGTATACATAGTACGTACATAAAATACACTCACACATCTTTGTACATACATACATACATACATTACACGTTTTAAGTAAAGATTTACTATATAGATATACATGTACGTACATACATATTGATAATTTTATAATTATCAAATCAATCAAAATCAAAAATACATTTTATTTACCAGAACAAAACACAAACAAAGTTAGAATAACATTCTGGCTTGGAGACAATTAAATACAACCAATATCAATAACATCGAAAATAATATAAATAATAAAAGTATAGATAATAATTTACAAGGCTTATGACGATTCTTCTTAAAATCTGCCGAGACTTGGTAGGCAGGCTAGCGAGGAAATCACAATCTGTCTGCTGTAATAATTTAAAAGCGACAGCCAGATGATGGTTCTCTAGGACTGATTCGTCATTATACATGAGAGCCAGGTCAGAACCTTTGAGTGTTTTTTGGTTACTGATTTGTCAGTAGTTAGTGGTGGTTGAGTTGTGTTGGCTGGTTGATTGTTGGCTGGTTAGTTGGTTTCTTTGGTTAGTTGGTTTCTTTGGTTAGTTGGTTACTGGTTGTGTTTGGTTTGGTGCGTTAGGATGTTGTGTTAGCGTGCTTGGTGTTGTAGAAATGGTTTTGTTGTTGTTGTTGATGTTGTCTCTCATAGTGAATTGTTTTGTCGTTTAGTGTTATCGGCTTTGTTTGTGTGTTGTTGTGTTAACAAAATTGTATTAACTCTGTAAAACCTCTATAAACTAACAAACAAATCTATTCAACACCTCTGAAATTAACTCAAAAGCAAAAAACTCAATCAGTTTACAATACAAATGAATACAATACAAAATACACAAAACCATTACCAAACATCACAAAAAATACAATAAAAAAACGAACAAGTGACAAATAAACTATAAAAAAAACAACAAAAACCACGTCTGTTTGAAACCTGTCGTTATGAAGTAGTTGTTCGTGAAGCCAGGATGGTCAATGTCATGTATGCAACTGGCGAAGATTGTTGCAAGAATTTCGAGATCCGTAAAAAGATTCTGATTGATTGGAATGACGTTACGTCACTTTTGAAGGCCTCAGTAAACAAACAAACAACAAACAAACAGACAAACGAACAAACACCCTACTACCTCAAGAGCGGGCAAACTAAGAAGAACATGGCAGGACTGAGTGACGTCAGCGGCATGATAGCCGTTGTGGTAAGGTACTTCCGGTCTGTAGTGATCTTCGGCCGTCATCAGGTAGTTGAGCATCGTCGTGCTGCAGATGTTGAATGCGCGCAAGAGGTCACGTTTCTGGGAAAATAAATATGGAGAAAAGTTTCAATGATGGTGGACGCCGATGATGATGAAAAGTGATGACAGGTGGAAGATGATGCTGATTAAAATGAATATGGTGATGAAATGTTTTCCCCTTGGAGTTTTGTCGACAAACGATGGTATTTATGAAAAGATGAAAATGACACTTAAACATGATATAAAAGATGGAGGTGGTTACATAGGTAATGATGAGACGGTACTATGATATCATGGACCTTTAAATACCATACCTCTTTTTAAATCAATTAATTCTGCTTCTGTCAATAATGTCTAATTGGTTAAATCAATTAATTCTGCCTCTATCAATAACGTTTAATTGGTAATTAAATTGATGTTATGTGAAAAATAAAATCAAAAATTCAAACCCAGCCAGCTAAAACAACTTCACTAGAAGTGCGTAAATTTGTATCGAGAAGAAAATTTAGCGGCCATAAAATAAGATACTCTGTCGAGTTGTTTGTGATGTTGCGTGTTGTGTTGGGCCGACGATTGTTTGCTGTTTCTTGCCTGCTAATAGCCTCAAATCTTAATTTACGGTTCTAAAACTCCGGGCTAAATACGGAGAAAATGTACTTTTTTTTTATAACGTTTTTCGTTATAGTTTTATTTATTACGAGGTTATCTCGACGACGTATATGGGGGAAAAATATTTTCAACAAATGACAAAAATGAATGAAGAGATGAATGAATGGATGAATGAATGGATGGATGAATGAATGAATGAATGAATGAATGAATGAATGAACGAACGAACGAACGAATGAATGAACGAACGAACGAACGAATGAAAGAATAAATGAATGAGTAAACTGATAAAAGAATGAACGAACGGATAAAAAAAAATAAAAATATTGAAAGGAAATCTAACAGCAAGAATGGTGTAAGTCACGGTTGTCATCGGCCTGTTGTTGGTCAGTTGACCTATTTCAAAAATATCAATGCCCCACTTATCAATGTCCGCCATTATCTAGGGTTGGGTTTTTGGCGGGAAAAATCATGCAAGTTTTTGAATAATAATATTTGCAAATGTTAATGAAACTAACGCTAATGCAAAACGAAAGATTTTTCAATATTTTTAATATGTTTTCAAATACTCGTCAATCCATCCATCTATCAATCTATCCATCTATCAATCTATCCATTCGTTCATTTATTCATTCATTCATTCATTCATTCATCCATTCATCTATAAAACCCATCCACTAATCATTCCTTACCTCATCCAGATGTTCCGGATCATTTGAATCCACTCCATACTTGGGATGCATGATGATTGAAGAGGCCGGCGGAGTTATAGAAGGCCTCTTGACGCCAGTGATTTCCAGCATAGGACTCTTTCTTTCGCTGTTGCTGTTGTTGTTGTTGTTCCTGCTATCCGTGTCCTCATCATTTTGAAGTAGTAGCAACTGTTGCGGATGTTGTAGTTGAAGTTGTTGCGTCTGTTGCTGCTGTAGCTGCTTCTGTGGCTCGCCTTCGGATTTTGTGGCGTCTGTAGTTGAGTTGTCGTCGTTGTTGTATTGAACGCTGTTCTGCTGTTGTTGCTTTTGTTGTTGTTGTTGTTTCAATTTCGCTTTGTTTTCTAGGCTGTTGTATCTCTCCTCAATGTACATGTCTTCTTGTTTGTCTGGGATAGAAAAAGAGAGAGATAGAGAGAGAGAGAGAGAGAGAGAGAGAGAGAGAGAGAGAGAGAGAGAAAGAAAGAGAGAGAGAGAAAGAGAGAGATAGTGGGGGAAGGAAGTGAATGAAAGAGTACATGTGTGAGAGAGAATTTTATATTTAAATATGATATTTTTTATTAATTTTAGTAGTTTTAGCTTATAATGATATAAAATTTGCATATTTTATGATAATGAGGTGAGATAAGAAGCAAGCGAACAGACGACCAGGCAGCAAACTCACCCAGAAAGGTGGAACTGATGTATTCTGATATTTGATTCCCTGCCTTGCTCGATTCAGCGAAGTGGCTTAGCTCCCTATTCAGCATTCTTTTAAACTGTACAAGCAGAAAAAAACACATCATTTTACGTAACTGGACGAAGTCATTTATGATGACGTCATCGTTGTTTATGTCGTTGTTTGGAAATGGCGATGGGACTCAAATCAGTGTGGGTGTTTCGATGCTCCTAAAAAAAACCATTCACAACAAACAAATGCACCCATCACACTCTCATGCACACACACACACTACAAATACACACACCACAAATACACACACCACAAACACACACACACAAACACACACAAACACACACACAGAGGCACATTTGCATAACTGGATTCTGCGTTCGTATTATTCGGTACAAGTGAATCATGTTAGCGTGAATGAGCTCTTTATCATGGATTATTTTGGAAATCCAAGAAATTATTGCTCATCCCATTTCCAAATCTGACCCGACATTCTTGTAATACCGACATGTAACAATAGAAGAATGATTGTAAGCAGTCAGTTAAGGCATACTATTAGTTATATACTTATGTGTATGACGTGTGTGTATTTGTGTGTGTGTGTGTGTGTCTACAATTATATGTGTTGTTTGTTTGCATGTATGCGTGTATTATTAGTATTATTATTATTCATCATTTGTAGAGTGCATAGGTAAAAGGATTTATTTCTACGCTCGTATGGTATGCACCAGGCTGAGAAAAATTTGTAAAATTTCATCGGCGTTTTAGATGGCTTGCAGAATTCAAATGTTTTCTTAATTTTTGGCAACGACATCACAAACAACAACAACACAAACAACAACATAAACCACAACGACAGCATAAACAATAAACAACAGCATAAACAGTAACATTTACAAGCAGCAAACCTATGGAATAGGAACAAAGCTAAACAAAGTTAAAACATACATTACATTGAGGTTGTTTGCTAGCCGGTGGTGAAAGATGCCTAGATCAACCTATTTTCTCTTTAACTTGGTGTTATATGATGTTTTGTTGATGTTATTTTTTGTTATATTGATGTTATACGATGTTTCGTCAATGTCATGTTGATGTTATTTTTGGCTATACAAACGAACAAACGAATGAACGAACGAACAAACAAACAAATAAACAGACAAATAAACATTTACGTTATGCAATCACATAGGTTGGAAATCTAATAAAATTCTCCCCTACAAGCAATGGTGCGTGTTAAATGATTGTTTATTTTGCATAGAATCCACTTATTACAACATAAGTGTTCATTTCTATGTATGCACTTGTGTTTATACGTATGTTTGTTTGTTTGTTTGTTTGTATGTGTATTTGCAAACAATTGTCTCGTGAATTTTTTTTACTTTTATGCTGGTTTTTATTGTAATAGTATATCTAATTGGTTTCGTCTGTTCTCTCTCTCTCTCTCTCTCTCTTTCTCTCTCTCTCTCTCTCTCTTTCTGTTTTCCTCTCCCTTGCCACTTTTTCATTCTTTCATTCCTCTTTCTTTTCTTTTCTTTCACTTCATTTCTTATTTCTTCCTACTATCACGATTCTCTTTCTCTCTTTCTCCTCCACTCTCCCTCTCTCTTACTTTCTCTTTCTCTCACGTTTTTCATTTTTTTTTTATTTTTCTATCCTTTTCTCAACGTTGTGAGTTTTTTTTGTGGTATGTGCGAATTAAAAAAATATATACATATATACGCATACACATTCTTGTTAATTAGTATTCTGTTTGAAGAAACTGCCAAGAAATTGTATTTTTTGAGAAAGAAAGAAAATTTTGGCAGATGAAATAAATGTTCTTTGTGTTTTTTTTTTGTTGGTCATGTTTTTGGTTTTTCTATTTTTTCTTTACGTTATGCTCGTTAATTTTTTCTATATTTCAAAGATTGGGTAGAGCATGGTGTTTTTGTACCGTTGGAAAAATGAAATAAAATTAATTAACCATTCATTAAAAGAAAAATTGAAAAATGATAAATGGAAGACTATGTAAAAACTTTTGTTGGAAGAATTTTTTTTTTGGAAAAAAAACCCTGAAAAATAAAGACAAAAAGGTCCATGAACCTTTACAGGACAATAAAATAAAAGACATCGTAAACATAAGAAACCCAAAACTAAATTTTTTCATGTGTGTGTGTGTACTTGCATGTGTGTGTGTGTGTGTGTGTGTGTGTGTGTGTATGTGTTTGTATGTGTGTCGGCGTGTTTTGATATGTTTGTGTATCTGTGTGTTTGTCTTGCTGGTTCAACGACCTCATCCCTTCAATGTTTATCAAGCTTATATTCGCATATACATTGCAGATGTATTGTTTCCCAAAATAACCTTATTACTTCAATATCGAATTAATTTGTGAACAAACCTAGGTTATCCATATATTTATACACACATGTATGTATATATATATATATATATATATATATATGTGTGTGTGTGTGTGTGTGTCTGTCTGCCTGCGTTTTTGTGTGTAAGTTCGTTCTTAGGTTTATTTTAAATGTTTGTTTGTTTGTTTGTTTGTTTATTAGAATACCTTTTAAAAAAATTTCACAAATGTTTCTGAAACGTTTGCAAAATATGTTTGTAGATACGATAGAGAACATTTTTTTTAGGGGTTTTAAAGCCTTTAAATAAATTACCATAAATTATTAGCTCCTTCCAGAGAGAGAAAGAGAGCTAGCTACTTTTTGACTGATGTGGTCTCTACATTACGCGGGCATGTATGATTGATTAGAAAGCAGGAGAGAAGTTTTTAAAAACGAAAAAATCTTTCTAGACATTTTAAGTTTGTTTACTTTTAAAAACGAAGTTAGTGAAGAAAACAAAAACATACAAAAAATATACATACACAAAACGTTACACACACACGCCATACACACACATACACATACATATTTACGCGCACATTCACACTGGCAGACGATAATACATTTATTTCTCCACACACTTACACACACACACACATACAAACAATTTCTCCACACACACACACGCACACATACAAACACACACACGCGCGCACACAGAGCAAACTTTTATTCGTTCCATTTTCTAGCTTTCTTTAGAAATCTTTTTTGAGAGTAGTTCAATATATCAAAACAAATGGGCCGTAGCTAAAATACTTTGTTGTTGCAGTTCTACTTTTGGGTTTGGTTTGTCTGTCTAGTGCATGTTTGTGCATGAACATATTTAAGTTTGTGTGAACGTGTTTGCATCTGAAGATTTTGTGTATGTATGTATGTATGTATGCATGTATGCATGTATGTATGTATGTATGTATGTATGCATGTATGTATGTATGTATATATGTATGTATGTATTAGCATGTATGTATGTGTTTATGTGTGTATGTATTTATGTTTATGTGTGTGTATGTGTGTGTACGTTTTGTGTATATTACGTCAGTTCAGACCAAAGAACGTAAATAAACATCTTCGAACAAAACTTTTGTATCATAAAAATCTTAATCTCTCTCTATCTAGGTCAGTGCATTGAACGAGGTACACACACTACATCTAACTTCATACACACACATCCACCCACACACACACACACACACACACACACACATACGCGCGCGCAATATTTAAGGTTGTGGATATAGCAATGGTATTTTGAGACATTTCTAATCTTTAAGCTCAAATGCGCGCTTTTTACAAATCACTTTTAGAAAATTTTTCAATCGACTAAAACGTCAATTTAACGTCATTCTTATGAATTCCGCAATTAAATAAATTCTGTTATATCCGTGGATGATAAAAATTTCATCCTATAAAAATCCTATCCAATCTGTCATCAACGAAGACAATTGTATAAATATTCATCCATACATACGTTCATAATAATTCAGTTTGTTAACTGCCGTCATTATTGCCATCCAGATTAATGCTTGCATTAATCTGGATGGCAATAATTGGCCATCCAGATTAATGCTTGCATTAATCTGGATGGCCAAGTTAGCATCGCCTATGGAGTCCTTCACATCAGCTACTTCTTATTCATCATCGTCATCGTCATCTTCGTCGTCATCATCATCATCATCAACAACAAAAACAACAATAACAAACAAACAAACAACCAGACGAATGATCGAACTCATTAAAAAACATTGAAACCTTAGGCAGTGGCATGTACATATTCACGAATCATACAAATCTGTCATCAACAAAGACAATTGTATAAATATTTATCCATCTATACATACGTTCATAATAATCTGAATTATGATTCTAATTAATGGATATTGGAAAAATTATGATATGAAAAAAATTATTATGTAGAAATATACCCAACGAACTGTATATTATTGCGATTGAAAATGGATTATTATATGGAAAAAAACACTTAAGAGAAGTATATAAGTTAGATAAATAATTATGACAAAATAGATAAATATGACATGACATAGAAATGACAAAATTATCACTGTAGTATAGAGATCTGAAATAAATCTCTCTTGAAACCCAAAAGGAAAATTGTATCCTCAATTGTATCCGCTTACACTGCCATGACTAAGAGAAGAATTTCATGATGAAAAAAAATTATTTCTCATTCAGTCTGTTTTTGCCTCTTGTTTTTTTTTTGTTTTGTTTAGTTTCTTTCAAGAACTTCAGGAGATAACAACAACATCATCATCGTCGTCGTCATCGTCGTCGTCACATCATCATCATTATAATGACATCATTTCATGACGTCATAATCACATGAACCATTGCAATACTTTAAAAATAACATCGAAGTCAAAATTTTCACTCGCTCACTCACTCACTCACTCACTCACTCACTCACTCACTCACTCACTCACTCACTCACTCACTCACTCACTCACTCACTCACTCACTCACTCACTCACTCACTCACTCACCCACTCACTCACTCACTCACTCACTCATTCATTCATTCACTCACTCACTCATTCACCCACTTACTCACTCACAAACTCAATTTCTCCTTCTCACTCATCATCATCTCACCTTATTCGTGGCCATCTCGCTGACTGACCGATGGGTCTGTATGATCTCCAGCTGCTCCAGACACCATTCCAACTCACCCAGCGTTTCCGAAGATAATTTGTCTAACTGGTCTTCTGTTCGGGTGATGAAGTGACGGGATGATGACGACGATGACAAAAATGAAATTGTGATGATGGTGTGAGGATGATGACGACGACGATGATGAAGATGATGATAATGTGAGGATGATGATGATGTGAGGATGATGATGATGTGAGGTGGTAATATGAGATGACATTTGATGGTGTGAGAAGACTGCTAGACTAGACCCAAAGTTTGTTCGAATAGTTGTAACGCTGTTCATACACGAGCAATGGTTTCTAATCAATCATTCAGAGATGTGTGTGAATTGTGTGTATGTATAAATGTGTGCGTGTGTGGATATGTATTTATGTATGTACGTACGTACACTTGTCTATTTTTGTATGTAAGTATCTATGTATGTATGTATAGTTATTTGTGTGTGTGTGTGTGGATGTGTGTGTGTGTTCAAATGTTTGTTTGTATGTGAGTGTATTTATGCGTTTGTGTATGTACGTACGTGTATATTTTTGTATTTAGATAGTGTACAATAAATTTATCATTTTTTGATTGATTGTTATAATGGCGTATGAATGATTATGTTGGGAATACAAAATTTGTATTATAAGTAAATACCAGGGTGAATTTATGCTTATATGTATATGTGTTTGTATGTATGTATGAATGTGTGTGTGTGTGTATGTGTTTGTATATGTACATGTGTGTGTACATGTGTATGTTTTGGGTGACTGAATTTTATGTTTGTATATGTGTAAATGTGTGTATTAAGTGTGTGTGTGTGTGCGTGTGAGTACTTGTTTGCATATACGTGTGTGTGCGTGCGTGCGTGCATGTGTGTGTGCGTGCATGAACGTAAACATATCATTCCTTTACGCAATACAATTAATTACATCATGTATATTGTGTCGGTTTGTCTTTTCTACAATGATATTCCTATTATTGTTATTTGTATTATTGAAATTATTATTTCAATTATAATAACAGTTATATTAATAATATTATTTTTATTATTGTTATTATCATTTGCCTTTCATGGGACTTAGCAATGCTTGTGTATTATGATAGAAAATTATATTTACGTTGTGCTTTTTTAAGGAAAACCTTTATCCCTGATGACGATGGTGTAGACGACGATGATGATGATGATTATGACTATGATTATTATTATTATTATCATTATTATGATTATTATTATTTTTATTTTTATTATTATCATTATTCCTCGCAACGACAGAGTCTCTGCCGGCCAATGCTAATTATCTGATAAGGATATCATTATTGCAAATCAAAATTACAACAACAACAACAACAACAACAACAACAGCAATAATAATAATAATAATAATAATAATATAGTAATAATGGCAGTAGTAGTAGTAGCAGCAGCAGCAGCAGTAGTGGTAGTAGTTGTAGTGAAAGCAGTAGTAATGATAACAACAACAACAACTATATTTATAAAAATGAGCAACAAAAGAATAAAATTTATATTGAAAATTCCAGTCACGTTTAACCGTTATTTGCGTTGAAAAACGATAACACACATCCACATACACACGAAACAAAACGAAACGAAATTTTATTTGCTTCCCAAAACACATCCACACACATCCACATACACACATACAGCATTTCTTTAACGACTACATCTTTTTGCAGGACATATTAATTAAACCAATTAACCAATTACTTAATTGATTGATTGATTAGTCACTAATGTTAACGAGTTTAATTGGATTGATGTTAATTAACTCTTATATATACAACACACACACACACAAAGACACACACACAACACACGCACATATACATGCGTTTTTTGTTTGATTATTTTTTTATGTGTCTTTTATTGCAAATAAATATTAAGATAAGGATGAAAGGAACTGAGAAAAAATATAAAAAAATTCATGGTTTACACAAACACACATACACACAGACAGACATACATACACACATACACATTCATATACACACATACAAGCATTCACACATACATATGTCTGACGTGTCTTTAGCTAATTAGGTTGTATTGCATAGTTGGGAATGATATGTTGGAGTTGTTTTGGTTTCGTTTATATTTTGTTGCGTATTTGGTTTGTGTTTGTTTTTGTATGTTTTGTTTGTTTTTGCATGTTTTGTTTGTTTTTGTGTTTTGTTTGTTTTTGTATGTTTTGTTTGTTTTTGTATGTTTTGTTTGTTTTTGTATGTTTTTGTATGTTTTGTTTGTTTTTGTATGTTTTGTTTGTTTATATGACTGTTGTTTTTTTGTTGCCAATCAGCATTATTACTTGCATTGTATTCGTGTGTTTTATCGATCTTGAGTTTGTTCGTTCGATCTGTAGCATATAATGTTTATTGTGCGTGTGTGTGTTTTTGCGTGTGTTCGTGCGTGTGTGTGTTTCTGCGTGTGTTCGTGCGTGTGTTTGTGTGTGCGTGTGTGCGTGATCATGTACGTACGTGTGTATGTTTTTTTTATTGGAAGCAATTTCGGGCGGGTAGTAACAATGCGGAGATTGTTTGTATTAATATTTTGATAATGTATTATTATTTTATTATTATTTTTGGTGTTACTTTACATAAGCTCATACATACATCTCTTGATGATATTTCCAATTTTGAGGACAAGTAGAATTAAACCCGGATACATCCAATAATGATTCTATGTGTGTGTGTGTGTGTGTGTGTGTGTGTGTGTGTGTGTAGGTTTGTGTGTGTAGGTGTGTGTGTAGGTTTGTGTATAGGTTTGTGTGTGTAGGTGTGTGTGTAGGTTTGTGTGTGTAGGTGTGTGTGTAGATTTGTGTATAGGTTTGTGTGTGTAGGTGTGTGTGTAGGTTTGTGTGTGTAGGTGTGTGTGTAGATTTGTGTATAGGTTTGTGTGTGTAGGTGTGTGTGTGTGTATAGGTGTGTGTGAATGTTTTCGTTTGTACGTGTGAGTGTGCGTGTGCGTGCTTTCTTTCTTTCAACACCTCAAAACCTATCAGCGATCGACAATGCACTGAGCTGAATGTTTTTCTCCGTTGTTTTCGACATAAAACAAAAACAACAACGAAAGATGGAAAATGTTCTTTTTGTTTGTTTATTTACCTCGTGATGATAACTTGTTCTGCACTCGGTTTGTGGGTTTTGGTAATATTAAAGAAAAAGTTTAAGCGATTGTATGAGCTGGCTGAACGAATGGATGGATGAATGAATAAGTGAATGAGTGAGTGAATGAATGAATGAATGAATAATTGAATGAATGAACCCAGCTAACACAACCAACTTTCCCGCCTATCAATAGATAATTCGGTTGATGTTAAACTGTTTAAAATCGATCCGCCTTTAATATTGGATTCAATAAAATTTCCAAAAAAGTTATTTATAGATGGATGGGATTTCCAGAGTTTATTATTTTTATCAATTTTGTTTATTTTTCTCCCTGTTACGTCACGGAAAGAACAAAAGTTATCAAAACATCGGTGCATAGTTTTTTTTGCTTAGCGATGTTACTGCTTGGTTGTTTTTACTATTACTGCTATTTATTTATTATAACTATAATAAATATATATTTATTCGATATATTATTATTATTTATTTTTATTATTATTTATTATTATTATTTTAGGAGCCAGAGTGCACCTGCAAAACATTACAGAATGTTGTTTTTTTTCGAAAGTAATGCCATTCTCGCTTTCGGCAATAATAATAATATGTAACATTTTTGCCAAAGAGGTAGTAACAGTAGTAGTAGTTGTAGCTGCAGGAATAGTAATAATAGTAGTTGTAGTAGTAGTAGTAGCAGCAGTAGTATTAGTGGCAGCAGAAGTAGTAGTTGTAGTAGTCGTAGTAGTAGTAGTAGTCGTAGTAGTAGTAGTTGTTGTTGTATTAGTAGTAATAGTAGTAGTAGTAGTAGTGGTGGTGGTAGCAGTAACAGCAGCAGCAACAGCAGCATCAGCAGCAGTGTTTATCTTAAGTGCATGCATAACGGGATCTGAAATATTTCTAATGATAAAATACCATTGTTTCGCTCTCTAGAGCAAAACAATTATTATTATTATTAATTATAATTATTTATTATTATTCTTTTCCATATTATTTCTTTGTATGTTCGTGTTGTCGTTATTATGGATGTTGCTGTCACAAAAACAGCATAGATAATTTAATTTCATCTTTTGAAGTCTTATATATCTTTGCATATTAAACCAGAGGTGAGTTGCACGTAAAATAAATAATTAAATGCAGAAGCACCTCGTCAGTATAGAAAAAATCATAAAAAGTATAAAATCACACACAGACACACACACATTCACACAAATAAACACACACGCACATATATATATATACGCATACATACATACATATACACACATACATCAGAGCGTAACTGTGTGTTTAGTATCAATATATATCATATCATTTTGCGCCAGAAAATATCAAAACTTTTAAGATTTTTCTGGGGAATATTAGCAAGGCAAAATAAAAAAGGAAGAAAATGATTCAAGAAAAATTGTTTATGACATAGCAAAAAATAGAATGATCGAATGAGTATTTGAATGGGTTTGACGAAGGTGATGTGAAATGGCGAGGATGATGATGATGGTAATGATATGGTATGGTGTGGTGATAGTGGTGATGATGTTTATTTGAAATGTTATGCCTCACCATACCTGTGAGGGCTTCATCGTTGCTTGAGATCTTCTCCTTTTCACAGCCTATGCAACTGCTTCGAGTCGAGCTATGCCAATCAATCAATAAATCAATTAATCAATCAATTGATCAATTAATTAATCAATTAATCAATCAATCAAATAATCAATCAATTGATTAATTATTCAATTAAATAGTTTTTTATTTAATAAGGATTAAAAATTAGTTAAAAATTAACTTTTTTGTAGAACGATTAAATAAATGGAATGAATGAATGAAAATGAATGTATGAATGAAAATGAATGAATGAAACAACGAACCAATGATTGAACGAACGAACAAACAAACGAACGAACGAACAAACGAACGAATGAAAAATCATGTGACAAATTAATCAATCTCATTTCAAACTTGTTTAAAACGGATGTAGACTTGGTCAGTGAGAGGAAATTATTTCTCACTGACCTCAAACTATGGACAATCTGCGCGAATGGCGTGACCACGTGCACCATCCCTTCCGTGTGTCTGCAGAAATTGAATGAATGAATGAATGATTGAATGAATGATTGAATGAAAGGAAGGAAGAATGAATTTTTAAACCGAATGGATGACTTAGCGAGTAAGTTTGTCGTGAGTTTGGAAATGAACAAACGAATGAACGGACAAACAAGTGAACCAACTACTGCAAACAATAAAAAACAAAAACTGATGATGAATTGTCAGAGGTACAAAAAATTAATTGTTCACAAGAACCTGGCAACGGTGATGAACGGCTCGTAAGAAAAAATGCAAAAACATCGCTCTAATTTAAAAAGCCATTAATCATTCGCAATCCTCGAAGATTAAACAAAATTTATAGAAATATAAAGTTAATTGGTTGAAATAAAATCTTAACATTTATTATAACGTATTAAAAATTAACCAGTTTAATGATCGACCGACCAACCAGTCAACCAGCCAACCAACCAGCCGACCAACTAGCCAACCAACCAACCAACCGACCAACCAGCTAAACAGCCAACCAACCAACCAACCAACCAACCAGCCGACCAGCCGACCAATCAACTATCCAACCAACCGACCACCAACCAACTATCCAACCAAATAATTCTCTATCCATTTAATTAAACTGCGGGCTATTGAAAACACTACACGCATACATTAAACCAGAAAAGGTGAATGAATTCATAAATCAATCAGCCATTGTGTGTGTATGTGTGTGACTGCATGTGTGTGTGTGTGTGTGTGTGCACTTAGGAAATAATACTGCTGAGTAATTAAGTATCGCCTAGGTATTGTACTGTAATGATATGTATGCTGCATTCTGTTCTTTTTTTCAGTTCACCTCCTTTACATTCAGCTAAATACACACGCACGCACACACATACACACGCACATACATACACACAAACATACAAACAAACATACACACACAAACACTCCTTATGCCTAAAGCTAAGAAACACGGCGTAATAATATTTTTTTTATATTTGCTGTTCATCTGTTTGGTTACTATAAAAATTTATTCATCATTTTTTGATGTTTATTTTGTATGGATATCTTAGAAGAATGTTTCCTCAAACAGACGATTTTTAAAATTTGACAAAAAATTTTCCTTGGCGGAAATTAACTTTATGATAGAAAGCTTATGAAGACAGGCTTTTGCGGATTATAACCCGGAAGAATATCTTCGAAAAAAGATCATCACATTATACGTACTAAACATCTACCAGCCAACAAATATTTGATAACACTCTCTTTTAATAATAAATAAATAATAACCAAAAAGAATTAATTGAAGATTAGAAATATTTTTTCAAATATTTACGAATAATATTAAATATGGTACTCTGCTTTGTTGAGAATGTCAATCAAACACCTCCCTACATACATGTCATGTAGTTTTAGTTAATTCAATCAAAAATTTTGTGTTGGTGTGTGCTGTTATTGTCACGTGTTTCGGGATTTATACGTGCAAGTATAACTGTTCATTCATTTAGTTATCTTTCCATTCGTTCGTTCGTTCATTCATTCATTCATTCATCCATTCATTCATTCATCCATTCATCCGTTCATCCATTTATTCAACTTTTATCAGTCAATCTTGGTTTCAGATACTTATCTTTTACTAAAAAATTTCTTTTTACCATCACCATCATCATCATCACATCCATATTT